GCCTTTATTGGAAGAGTCTAGACTCAGAGTCCTCCTGCACTTACAGGAGACACGTCTGCGAATGACCAAAAAATAGATAATAAGAGAATAGAGGTTATTTTAAGGGACCAAAATGTTCCATTATCCTGATATCACACGGGGAGGTACATATTATGCCTCTCGGTAGGTGTTTCATCACAAACAAATAGAGTATATTTCAGTATTTCTTGTTTAAGTTTATAGCACTGTTGGAAGAAATATTGAATATTTCACATTAACAAGCAACTTGGGGCAAAAGAAGCCTATCCAAAAGGTGAAATTGTTGATACTGAGTTCTCCTTGCCTGCTCTGTGTCTATTTTAAGGGGTATTTATTTAGCATTAATTTTACTCTGTTCCTGTGGACTGCATGCCCTTTAGAAGTTGGAAAACCAGCTCTGCTCCTGAAACACATCTCTCAACTTAGTTTCATCCATAAGTAAAACAGCTCACACACTCAAAGACTGGCCCAATTTGCAATCCAAAATGTGGTAAGTGGGGGCAATTGGGAGATTCATTTTAGAACCACACTCTTAATCTGAACTAAAACACGGATGTGCTGATCGGCTTGGTGATTCATTTTGGTGTTTCCAAATGTCACACTGTGTATAGCTGTGCTATTCTGAGCCTGTAGTTTGGATTTGCTACATTTTAGCAACAAAAATCATTCACAAAGAGATTGTGACAAAAAGTGCATCTGTGATTATATACGACAACACAGAATCCAAACTGATTTTAAAGAAAACATTGAAAAGTAAAATATCACTCTTGTATTTTCTCTTTCCCATTCTCAGAAGCATAGATTGTTTTCTATAAATCAGGGAGCCAATACCTCCTCTACTTCATAACTGCATTTTTTCTTACAGTTCAAGGAGGCTTTTGTTAGGAATTTCGGAGCAACTCATGGCTACTTTGAATCCTTTCAGTCTTTTATCTACACAAAGAAGAATTAATTCACTTAGTTATTATGGGGTATAGTTAGAACAGTTGTCAGTGGCAGAGCTGGGTTAAGACAAGACTATCCGAAGTGGCAAAAAAAGGGAATAAATGCCAAACAGGTTTTGTTTTCACAGGAAAGAATTTCATTGAGAAATGTACAGAGGTAATTTATCTAAGGTGCCTCCATATTGGGAAATTTTTAGCTGAGACAATAATTTACCATTTTAACTGAGACTGAATAATCTCCTCTGATTCAAGGAGAAAATAATCCAGATATATTGTCTCATTTTCTTGCATGCTACAACTGAAAGCAAGCCAAATCAGTCCTGAATATTAATGATTTTCTTTTTCTCACTAAAACTGCTCACCTGCTTTATGCTCCATTGTCCCCCACTGCTTACAGTATCACAGCATCGTGGAATGGTTGGGATGGGAAGGGACCTCTGAAGGTTGTCTTGTTGAGCCCTCTGCTCAAGCAGGGCCACATACAACCAGTCACCCTGGACTTGCTTGTGCTATTTGACATATAAACACATAGGCCAAGCACAGAAGGGGTGGAAGCAAGGCAGAATTTTTATGTTCTTTTCTTGTGCTGAAACACCAGTATAACGCAGTTCAGATTCAAAAGCTTTTGTTCTGTCTGTTTAAGAAATTGTCCAATACTTCACATAGATCTCAATAGGTTGAGTTTTTCTATTGATTTTTAGGGTAATTTGTTTGTAGACTGCTGTTTCTGACAAAACTGTTAGAAATACTTACATACATATTTGTCTTTTTTCATTTTATAATATCAATTTGAAAATGTTTCATAGAGTTTAAATAGGTCTACAAATGGGTGATCTCCTTTCTGCCATACCAACCATCACTGATCAGTATCTTAGGTTAGCCTAAAGATGTTAGACCACAGGAAGGAAGGATTTCATATCTTGCTGAATAAAATATTCTGTGCTCAAACAAATTTCCCTAAAAATCAATAGAAAAACTCAGCTGTGAATGTGAAGAGAGAGGCTGACAGAACTCACTATATGAAGAGATTGCCATGTAATGGATGATTTAAGACTACAAAGAATAACTTTGTATGTACTGAACCAAGAAACATAATTATGTTTGGTTGTCTTGCTTATTTTTAAAAACAAGATTTCAACTGACAACCAACATAGAACTAGTAAAAATACATTTCTAATCTAAACGTGTAGCTGTCATTCCATGTAATAAAATAAGGCAATGTTCTTACTCTAAGGAAAATGCAAAATGTAAAAAACACCCTTAAACTCATTTAAAAATCAATAAGACTCTTACCAAGTAAAATCCAAAAACTTCCAAACAACACCAAGATGCCATTTTAGAAAATTATTTATGGTCATTACGCTTTTACATTTTTTTTTAACTTCTCATGTTTGATTAAATGTGAGTCCCTTTCTACCTTTTAGTTTGCTGCCTAGTAGAAGCACAAGGTTCTGGTGATTGGCTAATTCAGGATGAAAAAAATACACACTATAAAAATTTACCCATACAATAGCAGGGTAATGAAAGTTGCACACACCACAGTGGGTGAGCTACTACTTTGTTAGAAAGAGCATTTACCAAACCTGACATAAGTAGATTTTGCAGCAAAATGAAACATAAAGCCAAAAAAATGTGGTGAAGACTTCAGTAGTTGTATGAAGTTCAAAATTTCAAACTCTCTATAGAAGTGAGATCTGCTGAGGTAGAAAGTGATTTTGACCATCTCTAACTTCAAACCCTGTGTCCTTGCTTATAAACACATTTGAACAAGCTTTTAGCATTCAGCTATGTAGATTCTGAGATATCTCCTTAAGGTCTCATTGCTAATGAGAACATCCAATGGCCACTGTGGCTATGCCTCAGCTATTTTGTGGATGTCTCCCTCCATAATGATGGTGACTGATTACATTTTGGCATAAACACACTTGGGAAGTACGACTTTGTGTTTCTCAATACTATTGCAATGGTGTCCTTAAAATTAAGAGTGACAAGCAAAAGAGATCTAAGAACTTTAAAGCTGAAAACACCCTATTTCAGAAAAGGAAAAATGTTGAAGCTCACTGTTATATGATGTGACACAGCACATTTCACAGAACAGCGCAATCAGCTGTTTTGTGCCTACTTGTTCTATAACCTTTTAAAGTAACTATAGGTTGAAACTTAGCCATATGGATGTCTGCATCATCCTGCAGAAGAAACATCTGACTGTCTATAAACATTCTTATGACTGGTTTCAACACTACCCTTTTTCAGTTACTCTACTGTTGCTTGACTAGAGGCAGTCTGAACATCTGTATTATAGAAGTTCATCCTATGGATAAATCGTGTGACTTTCAATTACTGGACAAATAAAGTTCTATAACTTGTGGTGGAAGAGAATAAGGAAGGTCAAAGAAAGTGCTGAGAGGGTTAGAAAGCAAAGTAGGACAGTTTATTAAGATTAACAGCTGCAGACTCAATGTTGCTAATGGTAAGACAGATTACACAAAACATAGGTGAATCCTTTCATAAAGTCTTATATCTTCTATATTCCTTATTATAAGGAGCTTACTGCAAAACCCTGTAGCAAAACCCTGTTCTCTTCTAACCCAGAAGGAATTTTAAGTGCTCAGTCAGGCTGGCTGGACTGAGGGCTGGCTGGCTGGCTGGTTGAACGGATGAATTCTGCAAGCCAAGATCACCTCAGACTTAACCCTACCGTGCATGTTACTACTGCTGACTGCATTATTAAGCATCGATGGAAGACACAGTCTTGATTTCAGGCTACGGGGCAGACAATCCACAAGCTGAAAAAACCTAGAGGTTCTTTATTAAAATAAGGTGATTTACTGGGAAAACCACTCAATAAATTAATAGTTAAATAAATAAATAAATGAATGTCCAGGTTTTCTCATCATTCACTTTCCAGAGCAGCCTCTGTGCTGCTCAGTGTTATTCCAAAGGTAGTAGGGGTACTCTCCCCATTAAAAGGTGCCTTAAAGACAACAGGCCTCCCGGCTACCGTGTCACTGCCCCCCCATTCCTGGGTCTGCCTTCGGGCTGGGGGATAGGACCCGCTCCGGCCCCAGCGGGCAGCCCAACCCCGCGGGTGTGCCCCGTTGCTCCGGGCCCGGCGGCGGGGCCGCCGGCACACGGCCATCGGCACCGTCCGACCTGCGCTCACCGCACCCGCACCCGCACAAAGGAGGATCCTGGGCTGTATTTCAGTTTTATTTGATCTACAGGCTCCTCCACGACACCCCCACACCGTCCCTCCTCCTCTCCCCGCCCCGGTTGCGCTTCCAGACACACTTTTCTTGTTGCAAACGGCATGAGCATCAGGTTGCGGGCAAGGAGGAGCGGGGCCGGCCCCGCCTCCGAGGCGCTGCTGCGGCGTGGCAGCCTGAGCTGGCGGTAACCAGGGTCCCTTGGTTCTGCCCCCATCCCCTCCGGGGTCGGCGGCTTTCCCGCGTCGGCTATTCTCCAGCCTAGCCGCAGCAACAGCGGTGCAGAGAGCCCGGGGGATCCTATGCTGCTCCCCTCGCACTTCTGTAGCACAAATCTTCCCTTCTCCTCGGCCCTCCCCGCCGCCCCAGCGGTGCGCTTTGCCCCTGTCCACTCTTGTCGCCCTCCCTTCGGCCGGGCCGAGAGTGCCGGGGCCGCGGTGCTGCGGGAGTCAGGTGTCGCTGCCGCGGCTCTGCAGGGCCAGGTCCCGGGGCCAAGGAGGGATACAGCTCTCTCTGTTCATTCACTCCTCCTCCCCTCTTCCGCTGAGACCATTTCAGCTTCTCTCAGTACTCTTACTATATTTTCCGTACTCTACTCCCTTCCCCTCCCTTCCCGCCCTGACCACTAGCCCTCTGCAGTCTCGTCAAAGGGATGGGTGTTTGGGGTGGGATGTAGCTGGGGAGGATAAACCTCCTCTAGAGGTCTAGACAGGAGGGGAGGGCGGGAGAGATTTTGCTGTTGTCTCTGGGCTGATTGGAAGAGGCAATCCTTATATGTGTGGCCGGAGGATTAGCAGATAAACTTTTATTGCTCCCTTTTGTGTGCGTGTGTGTGCGTGTCCGTATATGGGTGAAGATGAAGAAGTCGCCTCTCAAGGGGGAAAATCTTTTCAATTTCCCTTTAGCAGGTGCAGGTCAAGGAGGAACCCATGAGCATTTTGTCTGATCCATGAACTGATTAGGGGAGGGGAAAGGATCCCTCTCTTCTTGGTCTTCCTTTCCCAGTTTTGAAATCATTCCTTCCCCACCACTGCTGCCCTCCCACCCACCCCCTCCCCTTCCCCTGCACTGAATGAATGAAAGAGACTCCAGGGCTTTCTTCTGCTTCTCGCCCTGGACTGGAGAAGTGAGGGGGCATCTATCTATGCTCATCCATCTCTTTCTCGCTTCATCCATTCCCGGCGGGATTTCAGACCGTGCAATGTGTTTTCAGCCTCTTGCCGCTGCTACCACTTGATACTATGCGACGCGCAGGGAGAGGGTTTTGCGAAAATGGATTTATTCTATTTTAAAGGATTTCTTCTCTAATAAGGATCTCATTGCACACAAATATGACTAAATCCCCTATTTGGTAAATCTTTCTCTACCCCACCCCTTCTCTTTGGGTTCCCTCCCGCCCGCGCCCCCACCCCTTCAGAGGAGCAAGCACAGGGAGCTGATGACGGACCCATTAATCCCTTCTTCAATGCATCAAAAGAAGCCGAAGGGCTGGAAGTCGCTGGGCTCGGAGTCCTGCAGGAAATGCTTCGATCTGCTTTTGGTTCTGTATGAAACTGGTGACTAGGGGCTCGGCTCGCTCCGCCGCCGCCGCCCGCCGGCACCTGGATGCGCGGGCCGCCGCCGCCGCCGCCTTGCCCGCCGCCGCGATGCAACGCTCCTGGCGGTGCTGGTGATCGCTCGGGTGTGATGGGATTGAGCCGGCGGTGATCATTTGAAGGCGGTGAGGGAGAGCGAAGGAGAGGAAGGGCTGCTCCGCTGTGCTGTGTGTGTAGGGGCTTCGGGATTTTTCTTTTTCTTATTCTTTTCTTACTTCCATCCTCTCCCCGCCACTGGAAGTCCTCCCGTATCTAAATGGAATTAGTGGAGACCGAAGCCCCTTGTGTAAGGAACAGACATGACCCATGGACGCAGCTTCTTTCACAGTGAGTATCTGGCTCCCCCTTCCCAGCCCACCACCCCTGACCAAGCTCCCCCGCCGCGCACGGGATCCTGCCCTCCGCTGCCTGCACAACTGGCGTAACGGGACGCTCAGACTTCCGCGGCGCGGGGGCGAACTCTCTCCCGCACACACAGCACCCTATCCCCCACCGCGCTGCGGTGCTCCGGGGGGGAGCCCGTGTCTGCCAGCGCCGTGGGGCGGCGGGACACGCTCCCGAGGGCTGGAGGCTTTCACTGGACGCGGCGCATCTGGTGGCCTTTGGCGTGCCGGGGGAGAGGGGGGCACAGCCCCCGCTGTCCGCAGCGGTGTGGCCCCTGCCGTGGCTCGAACCGGCCATGGGGGCGCGGGGCAGTGCAGAGAGCCGCGGCGGGGGCGGCCACACCGGGCACGGATCCCGCAGGTCTGCGGGGCGGGGGCGGCCCCATCGGCCGAAATCCTCCAGGAGCAGCAAGGAGGCACCGAAATGTATCACCTACTCGTCGAACACCCCCAGGGCCCTCAGCCTGCGCGGGTGGGATCCCATCTCCCGCCTCTGTTTTGCAGAGGGTCCGCTGTATTGAAGGGGCTTGACTGGGCACAGTGCCTTCCAGCACTTCCCTCTGCGCCCACACCTGTACAATAGCGCTGTGGCCAGGTATTGCTCGTCCAGCAACTCTTCGCTAGGCTAAGCCACGTCTGTGCCAAATTACAGCCTCCTGAAAGCCTAGCCAAGAGATAAATCTCTTAATGTACAGCTTGTAATAAGAAAAAAACAGAGGTCTAAAAAGATGGAAAGATGCGTAATCAGAATGGCACTAGAAAGCATGATTATAATTACACCCATGATTAGGAAGGAAAGGAGAAGGAGGAAGACAGTGAGAATGCAACAAGAAATTTGGTGGAAACTTCTTTAAAATAATTCCCAAACCGAGATAATCACAATATTGTTGCCATGCTGCCAACGCTTCCCAAGTGACAGTTTTCAATGAGTGAAGATTGCGTGGTTGGTCTCTTTGGGGTCTTTTTTTTTTTCTCCCCCTCTGTGAAAAGCACTGTTCTTTTTCTGTGGCTTGAGAAAGAAAAAGGCAAGAGATCATAGAATAAAATGGTCTGCCTTGTCTGCTTAATTAAAGTATATTGTGCTGTCTTGTACCATGAAGCCCATAATTTTAACTACTTTCTGTCAATATACACATTTTGGCGCTGTTGGTGTTAATAACACTAAATCAAGAGGTTTTCTCTCTTTTTTTTTTTTTAATATGGGAGAAGTGTTTCCTTTTATCAATGAAAATTTTAGATGTGGTAAGTACAGAAAAAAACCCCAACAAACTTAATCTCTTAGTCTCTTCTTGTCCATTAGATTTTATTATCAAGATTGACTCTCTATTAATAATCAGTAGTGACATAATGACATGTAAGTATAGCTCTGTGCTCTGGAAAAACATAGTTCTGTGGTTTGGAATGATCATTTCTAGCGGTTACAGCTGAAACTGAAAAGACCTGTGTTTCTTTCTGTCATCTTCCTAATAATATATCTGTGACTTGGACCAACTCTCTTTACTTCTCTGAACTCCATTTTTTTCTATATAGAAAAGGAAGGGTGAGTGAATAGATAAAGATGCTTGAAATGAACCTGTAAGAATCAGATATGAATTGTTATCAATTGCCTAAAAAGAAACATTTCTCACGTGGAGTTTGTTTGGCTACTGTGCGTCCTATTCTAGCTTTAATAAATCTGTGGGCAGAAGGAACACCAGCAGCTGGCTCCATATTCCACCACCAGTCCACCTTACAATATAGAGAAATTAGGCCTTGGCTGGTGAAGATTACAGGCATGGATACAGTATGTTCACTGTGTGAAACACAGCTAAAGTAAATGAGCAACTTAGTAAATGGGTGATTCCTCCATTGCCCTCAGATTCTGACACAGTCAGCAGGCAGAGTCCCAGCTAGCACATATTTCCAGAATTCATCCCTGAGGAGAGTAAGGGTATGAATGGCTAGGTAGCATTCAGATCCAAGCAGAAGAGGGAGTGTTCTCACTTATGCCCACGACACAGAAGTTTTTAACTATCAGCGCTGCCAATATCCATCTCTAGGGGCTGTTAGCCTGACTAAGAAATAGTGAATATGCTGCCAAGCCTTCATTTCCCCAGAATTTCAGCCTTTCCCTCCTTAATAAGGCAGCCATCATCTATGTCTGTAACCCTCTGTCACATGGGAAAGGTCAAAGACATAGAAATAAATATCTCAATGCCATCAGAATACAGCCTTCCTTCAGGGTAAAAATTACACACAATTTGCAGTATAAAAGCTGAAAATGATGAAAGCACCTTCTTTGAAAGGATCATAGTTATCAACCCATGATGGCCTTTGGTGTCTCTTGAGGATAATAAGAAGAAAGTATGCCATCGAATTACATTTAAGACCATAGTTCTATCAGTTCCTCATCACAGTCAACAACACAAATGGCAGCTGATTGATCTAAAATGCTCAGAATAAACATGCAACTTAATCTCCGCTTTAACTTCAGTGCAGCCTGGGCACTATGTTTGGGCTAATGCCAAACTAGCTGGGGCAAAGCCCCAAGCACTCCAAGAACTGATGGATCTGTTCTCTTCTGCTCTTGCTATCCCACTTTCTCCTATAGTCAGAAGATATGAGTGATGACAAGAAAATCAGTGCATGATTTCTTTATCAGGTAGCTAACTAGTCACTTCGATCTTCCAAATCAGACTGACCTAAGTGTTTACCTCTTAGCCTTTTCCAGTTAAAATGTTATATTTGGAAATTATTCCCAGAAACCCAATAATTATCATAGTCGGAGAGAGGAGATTTCTATTTGTAAAATGGGCTGCAGATTCACTGCAGCACAAAGCAACACCCTCTTGACAAGTCAAACAAACTAGATTAATGGGACTGTTAAGCATACACAATAATTTACTTCACTAGGGATTTGCAAATGCTTTGATGGATGTGAAGAACCCAACCCCTCACTTCTTTCATACTCCCAGTACTCATTTTCAAATTTTATTATGCCATAGTGAGAGACATTAGTGAGTACAGTGGCATTGAAATTTAGCAGGCCTTTGTCTACCTCTGTTAAAAGCAAACACTTTTCTATTACTGGCACAAACTGTGATTATATAAATATTTGTATAAATGTTTTTCTTTATTATTAAAGGAAAAGAAAAAATGGGATGGATTTGTTTTAAACCCAAAAGATCTTCTCTTTATTTGGATACATTTGCAAAGATAAATATTTACGACAGACTACAAAGAAACTTGTTTATACAAAATGTGCAATTTAAAGATGCAAGTAAACATGAAACTTTTTTTTACAGTAATTCTATTTAATTTGTATTCTTGTAAGATAGATGGGTGCAATTTGATTGCAGGCACAATCACATTGTGATATTTAATTCATGTTTCTCTTTCAGTTGTAGCAAGTCTAATCATCCTACATTTGTCTGGGGCAACAAAAAAAGGAACAGGTATGTAAACTTCAGACATTTTTTTTCTGACAGTATATTAGAGACCAAAGTTTGGACTTGAGTTATTAGTTTAGTTTTTGGAATTTTTAGTGGCTCATTTACTTCCAGTATCTGTGCTTTGTCCATTTGTTTAGAGTATTTGCATGCCTCTACACACAAAAAAAAAATCCAGTGGTACTGGGCAGACTCAATTTGACTGTAACTGAAGACTGTAAAGTGCTCCCACTTTCAAACTGGGAAGTCTAGCTTGGGCGCTGAGCTACATACACTTAAAATATTTTTGCTTGTTTGAAGTATAATTAAAAATCTAAAATTGGTTATTGTGGGTGCTTTTAGGCAGGGTGAGTAGAGAAAGATATTCTTAAAAGCCTTGGGTGCTCTGTGTGATGAGACCCAAGCCGGATAATGCTGCTAAGCCCAGTGTATGTCTGAACCTGTGTCTGAATGCTCAGTCCTTGCAGGCCTGAATTCCTTTCAGGAAATTAGAGTCCATGTTGAACTCTGCCCAGATACAGACTAGGCAGAAAAAGAAATGCTTGCAGACTATAAGTCAGAACTCAGGTGGTTAAAATCATCCTTGGAAGGTACCTGTTTCCCTCCATTGATTGTGAGAGGGAACCTTAAATACCTGACTTTATACATCAGGGGCTTAAGTTAGATGGGACACCTTTGGTCTTAGATACCTCATTTGGAGTAAAACCAATCTATCTTTCCTTTTAATAGCAACCTAGGTATATTTGTCTCTGAAGAATCTATCTCATTTTAGCCTACTTGTTAAAGTGTGGTGCCTAGGAAGGATTCCTTCATCATCTTCAGCTTGAACAGACCCAAACCTTTGTCTCCAGTCTCTCTGTCAGTGTGTAGAAAGGAAGGCAAGCAATTCAGGGCTAGGAAGAAAACAAACAAGTAGGTCTGACTCTGCTCTCTGATGATTCACCTAGGAGGAGGAAAGTTCTTGGATGTGATTCCTGGCCTCAGAGTTATTTATTAATTTTACAGCAAACAGCAAAAATCTATGGAATCTATGAACTAGATTCCAGGAATTCTCCTGTCTACTTCTGTCCAGTGAATATAGAATAAAGATGCTGCAGATTTTAAAACAACTTGTATACACCATCTTGGTTTTTTCTTGCTTTTGTGACTCTTACGTATTCCTGTATTACGGTATGAAGCTTGCTGATAGAGAACATGCTTGAGCTTTTTGAGATATATGAATGGGAAACTCATGTCTTCCATTTCTTGAGCATGTGCTTTCCCTACAGGTTATTATTTTAAAAACAATACACATATGTCTCCCCAAGATATCCAAACCCCTTCTCTGCTTTGAAAAAAATGTTTTGAGTAAGAATTATATATTTGTACCCATAAAGAGAACAGCATTGTTTTCCCCCAGGTCCATGATCATACCCACTCTCAACAGAAAAAAGCTTGAGGCCACTGACAGAAGGAACTGTTTTATTTATCCTGTAAGAGACTTCTAAGTGTCACATAGACATAGTAATTTGTGAGCTAATTGTATAATGCTTAATGTCATCATTTCACAGAAAAGCAAACTGCTTCCGAAGGACAGAAACCAGTGCAGTGTGGAACTTGGACCAAATATGCAGAAGGAGGCATCTTCACTTCTCCAAATTACCCCAACAAGTATCCTCCGGACAGAGAGTGTGTCTACATTATAGAAGGTGACCAAATGAGGAATCTTGATATTTTATTACCAACTGTATTAAAAAAAAAGTTTTATTATATGTGAAGAATAGATGAAGTTGTGGTAGATAAAACTCATGATAAATCTTTTCAAGACAAAGATTTAGAGAAGCTCTTGATTTATATCTTGACATCACTCATAAATTAGTTCAGGTGGTAAGTATGCATGACTCAGTAATAAATACAGTACAATTTATTTCAGGATATTCAGAGAATGAGTAGAATCTAAAATGCAGTAACGTGATGGAAGAATATTTTAAAATTATTAGGGAAAAAAATGCTTTAGACTTTCATTCAGATATTCTAAACTTATCATAATGGAATCAGGGATGACAAGCACAGCTAGGCAAAGTACAGTAAAAGAAGTCGTACAGAAAATATCCATAAAGCGAGTGTAAAAATTATTTTCTGTCTAATGGTTGATGAGAAATGAAAATAAATGAAAAAAACTAAAAACACCTCACAAAATAAAACCAGAAAAGAATAAACATTTACACCAAACAGGTCTAAGACACAGTTTTTAAAAAGTCATTTTTAATTGTAGGCATGGAGGTGATGTAAGAAATGCTAAAAATGTATTACAAAAAAAATACATAATTTCATCAGTCTTAACACAATGGATGTTGAAAGGATTGTTGTAAAAATGAATCTGTGGAAAGTAATAATGATTAGATACTGTCAGAGAGCTTAGTAGCCCAAAAGGTGAATCAGGTACAGTATAGTAAGTAGTTGGAAGCAAGAAGATTCTTTCATGAGTTTTGAGTACATGTAGAATGTAACACTGATGTTGCTCTATCCCTGCTTGGTTTACAGAATTATTAATTAATTAATGATGGAACCAGGAATTACTGAAGTAGTTATTTTACTAAAGATTCAGGTAGTATCAAGACAGATTTCCAAAGGTTAGAGCTGATTTAAATTGAATTAACTGTATTAGACCCACCTCTGCTATGCCCTTTCAGAAAGGCAAAAAATCACAACAAAATGACTGAATTCCACTTTAGTGCTAGGCAACTTGACTTGAGTCAGAAGTAAAGAGGTGGTTATAAATAACGGAGCCAAACAAGGTCTTTAAAAAAAATTTATGTTTGTCAGTCTTCCCATAAGAGAATGAAACTTAAGCAGATGTTGGTAAATATTTCAATTCTTTCATAGTTTAGTAATTGTTTTAAAATACAAATAAATTTTATAAAAAAAAGTAAATGTAGAGATCGAATATGTACAACTTGACTTTTTTGTTTATTTGTTTGTTTTGTTACACTTATCTTGCTAGATCCAGGATCTTTTGCATCTATTGATCAAATTATCTAACCTTCCTGGGGACTGGGAAGAACTAAGCTTGCTTTATCTTCAAATATCTGAAACACAGGGTGTTTTATCATTAAAGAGAAAGGGTGTAGAACAAAAAAAGAACATTTTTGTAAACTTTAGTCCCATATCTCTGTCATAAGATGTTCCTCCTCATATGAAGAAGGTACCTGAATCCCTGTTGCTGTAAAGACTTTTGTCTTTATCATACAAATTGAGTACTTACAAAAATAGAGTTAATAAGCTGAAAGGTGGCAAAATACACTGTTAAAATAACCTGATTTTAAATAACTAAAGATAGAAATGTCTAAGAACACTTTATGAAAGCAAGATTTAGTCAACCAAATTCTATAATGAAGACGAAATTCCACGTTGACAGGTTTGGAGCAATCTATAGGAGAAAGAGTAATTCAAACTTAACAAACGTCTTGTTATATTTCATGGGAAAACTCAATCTGGTAAAAAACAGTTGCATGCAATTTTTTATGGCTCTGATATTTTCATCTTCCCATCCAGCCTAATGAACAAGTTGGATTGCAACTGGACATTTTAAAACCTAACATGAAAGCAGCTCTATCAGTACATAATTTGATGAGAACCATGGATATTGCACAACATTTTCAGCTCTGATCTCCCCGTGTCTATTTCTGTCCTCTAAAAAAATCTTGAATAGTCATGTCTGGAAAATGTCACAAAAATGTCTGAGCAATAACATTTTAAAATGTGGCAGATTTCAAAAAAAGGCAAAAGAAGCACTGAAAGTCAACAAAAATTATATTGTAATTACAATTAAATTACAAAAAAATCATTATTTGTCCATACTTATTCTTTTTACAAAGTATAAAAATGGCAGAAAACGATAAGAAAGCTGGCAAGTATAAACTTTTCCCGATATCTTTTATATTCTGTGGAAGTCATTGGCATAAGATATTGAAGTTAAAGGATTGCAAAAAAGGAAAGATTAATTATTTTACTGATAGCAATATCTTTGAGAACAGATAAAAATTTTTGGAAATTGTGGATAATCCTGGCTCGTGAAGGATGTAAGTATTTTAGAGTAAAACAGAAACATCGCCATATGCATTTTATTTCTATATTTATTATTGAAATTCCAATATGCTTCAAATAGCTTCTGGGTGCTCTTGAATACCAAGTACCAAACTAGAGGGATTGTCGATGTGATCTGTAATAGCATTGCTGCATTCCCATCTCCCCTTCGTATGTCTTAGGAAGTTCAGCATACCGGGACTGTATATATACCATGCTGAAAACTGTGTGATGTGATTATAAATACATATATGAATCACTAGGTTCCTTCCTGACTCCTTCATTTTTTGCTATCAAACACACTCTAGGGCAAATTCTGATGACTTCCTTCAAATGCAATTCCTACTGACTTTCATGGTCTTAAGCAAAGATTCCAGCATGTAGCGTGTTGTAGAAAAATTGAATTTAATCTCGTGTTACAACTTTTTTCCTCCACATTGTAGCTCCTCTTAAATGTATGCAAGCATTTTATCGTGTCAGAATTACTTAGGTGAAGTAAAGGAGCTGGCAAAAATAGCCATGATCATAGACTGAATTTCTGAAAACGAAGAGGATTTCTAACTGCAGGGACTTCTATCCTAGCAGTCAAAGATTAAACAAATCAAACAGCTAGAAGTTTCTTAGATATTTTTTCTTTTTCTCTCTTTTTTTTTTTTTAACTTTTGTTTCAGTAGTAATGATAATTAACTCTTGGAACAACTAGGAATTTTAAAGCCCAGGTTGAATGTCTTTCTAAGAGAAATCTTTTAGGTCATCTAGAAATCATGGACTCTGTACAAAAATTGTTATGCTACAGAAGAATGTCATGAATGAGTGCAGAATAACTGTGAACAGTGCAGCTTGGTGGGGAAGGATGCACTATCACAAGGTGCTTCTGATGAATCCCATCTGCCTTTCAAAACACAATGAAAATTTTGGTTTTTTGTCATCTTCTTTCAGTCTTATTTGGCGTATAGAAAACATAGGAAATAGCTGAGTGTACACATTAAATTCCCTCTTCAACCAAATTGTACCCTTATTTTGCATATTCATGACTCTAACCTGGCAAAATTCACAGCTGCCCAGAGCAATTGCAGCAGTGACAGCATTAGCCTTTGCCAGACTGCAGAACATTTGGCATGTGTGCTACAAATGAAAATTTGCACAGCAGATTTTGTAGGAGCAAAGGCTTTTGCTTGTATTAAAAATATTTGAGGAGTGGTATAGTCATACTTTATACATTATAACTTGAGAATTGTTTTGGAAATTCTGTAAGCAAAATACTTGTAAGATTTTATCAGTTCATTGGTTTTAAATAATTAAACATTTATTTATAAATAGAGTTATGGACCAGAATTGATTTACATATAGATATGAAATAAATATTCCATTTTGCATGTTTGTGGACGTTTAGAGCTAGCACTTTTGAAGGTCTTCCATGTTCTCACAAAAGACTATTAAACTCTTTAATCCTAGATGTTTCACAGGTGTTAGAAAACAGTCACGTTATCACTGTATGAAAAACATCTACTCAAAGTTCTTTTGTATTTCACAATGATTTTTGTGTTCAAGGAGTTTTCATCAAAACAAGAAAAGAATCCTCTTTTAAAAGGAGGGATATATGTGGCTTTCTTATCAATAATAGCAGGACAACCAGAAAGACTGAGGATTATTGAAAACTATTAGAAGGGTAGCAGCTCAGAGAGATGGGGGTAGGTGTTAAATTCAGTTTCTCATTTCCATGCAGTGTGGCAAATTGAAACAGATTTTTCACTTAACTTCAGCTGTCAGTTACACAGACTTAGAGGCTGATCAGAATTAAAACCTTAATTGTGTGGTTTTGCTGCAACTGTTCTACTGCAAGCTGGAATCCAATGCCTTTTTTTTTTTTTCTTTGGATGTAAAATCTCAAGACAGCACTTGTGTAAGATAATTAGATGAAAAATATGACAAGACATGAAAGCATTAAGTAGTCTTCCTTAAGACTTCCTTAAATATTAAATATTTTTGAAGAAATATAATTAGAAGCTAAGTATGGAAGATTTTTGAGATTTGGAATAAAATCATTTTATGAGACAATTTCAATATGTTTCATTTGGAGTTGACAACAGCTTTTCCTGATGTCATAGCCACAGAAGGAGTTCTGCAAATGTGAATGGGCTTTACCTGTGAGTAAGGATACCAGAAATGGCCACTCCATCCTGCCTTTTCTGATTAGATGGCCAGATGCCAATCCAGTCTGGGAGATTTGCATATTCCAGATTTTTTTTGTTTTGTTTTGTTTTGTTTTTTTATAGATACACACACATTATTTTTAATCATTATTCTGAACTTGTTCTGGCTTTATTTCTGTAAGTTTTACTGTGACCACATATGCCCAACTTTGTTGCAAAAGTTGTGGCACAAGATGTGTATTGATACAATATCTACTTGTTTTAGCTCGTGTTTGACAAAGAAATCCTTAGTTATATCCAGAATATAAATCTGAAAATATACCTTTTTTTGCTAAAAGGAAGCTAAAGTTGAGAGTTTGAGTTATGTGATTTCATCCCTTATGGTCATTTCTAGAAAGATTTGATTCATTTTGTATCTTCTGTAGGTTATTGCAAACAAATAATTTAACCGTTAACTAAATGTTAAGATGAAGCACAGAGGTGCATTCAAAAGCACGTAATGAAAAGGTGCACGGATGTGTGTATTGCACCCCACAGTTACATACAATTAGAGAAACATGAAGTGTTGCATTCCTCAGGAGAGTCAGGCAAAAGGAGTTTTAGATTAGTCCTGTTTGGATTAGCTTGCAGAGCAGGCTGTGCCATGGGCAGTTACCTATACTAGTGCTTGAAACAGGTCTGGATATGCTTACTGGCCCTAAGGCCCATAGGCACAATTGTACATGTACATTTCAACTCCTTTTACCTTCCAAGTTAAGAGTACAGATACAAACTACTTGGAATGAGTGATCCTTGACTGATGCGAGCCACCGCATCATGCCTAAGAATGGGGTTTGGCAGCTCCTACTGGTACAGCCAAAGTGATGCGAGAATGTGACTTTAACATTTAAGGAGTGTGAACATCCAGTGGTCCAGCCCCCAAATTCAATTCCTAGCCTGGTTTAGCAATGGAGAAGTGGTGCTAGTGAGTATTCAATGCTCCTTTCTTAGAGTGAAGTAGCCTCTACTGATGGGAACTTTGGGGAAAACTGAAAACTCTTGAGCCCTCCTTGAGCTGATATGATTATCTTTGATCCTGTAGCAAGATCTGAGATTCACTAGGAAAATCCTCATCTGTTGAAAAATAAATAAAATCAGAGAAGTGTAAACTATAGCAATATTCTGATTGTAAAACTAGTCTGTAGTGTGAGATTCAGAGCACTACACTTTGTGGAAATTGTGCTTTTTCTCAGATTGTGCATTCACCTAGTCAATAGATCTCGTGGGTAACTCTCTCATTTACCCCCAATGACTCCTTTTATATTATACTGAAGGTATAATTGGCTCTTTTTCAACACCAAAAATCACATCAAATGACTAAGCTACAGCTCTGAAGGGACCTCATGCCCATTTTTAATGTATGTTACATGAATCTTAGATTTAGAGAAGACCTGCTATGGGTTTAACTATGGGCCAGCACTTGTACAAAATAAGGCCATGAAAAAGAGAAAGTCTATAAAGGACAAGTATGTTATAACCAGGTCATAAGCCATTTTTGAAGCAGATGTCTCTTCGTGGCTGTGGAAAGCAGAGCAGCCATTCACTGGCTGTGATGCTGTATGACACATTTGTAGCAGAGTTAATCTTCATATATCTAGTTTGTGATGTTAAAACATTACAATAAAGCTTTAGGTAGGTTAATAGCATAACATTGAAATAGTGTGTATATAAGATTTTCAAACCATAATGAGCATTCTTAAGACTACCTAAAGCATTGTAAGTATGGAGTTTCTGATGCCTAACTCTGCTGTCCTTAGGCGAATGATGAACACTTCTCAACAAATCTCCTTAAATGAAATAAGAGCATGAAAAATATGCCAGATTGAAAGGTGCTGATTGCTCCCTTCTGCCCTAGTATTACTTAGTTAAATTTAAATCAATATTTGTTATAAAAATGTGAAGTCAAAGATAGAAACATCTGAATAACATTAATCGATGATGTCTTCCGGTATTCAATCTTTTACTATAATCAAAAAATATCTACTTTAGTCTTCAAACCTCACCAAGGATAAAATTAGTATGATCTTCTTCACAAGCTTTAATATCTGATTTTATTTTTACAAATTTTTTCCATACTTTCAAAGTGGTTTCTTTTACATGGTCTGTGAATTTGGTGCAATTATTTGAAAAGCTTTATGTATTGCTTTGGTTTTGAATTTGTACGGGCACAAAGATCACAAATTTCCTGCAAATTGGTATAAATAAAAAGTCAGTATTAAGTACTTCCCTAAATGTGAATTTCTTCAAATTGAGAACAGTAAAAAAGGCTTATTTCTTATGTTAAATTAAATGTTTCAGTAAATATCAATCACTCAATATTAACATTGTAAGCAAAGCTGTTAAAATGTTTTTTTTCCAAATAATGTATTTTATGGACGTACTACTTAAATGCTTCTTGTCAAAAGACGCTGTATTTATTTATGTGAAATACTTGTAAAAGGGTTCTGACTGTGTGCTTTTATGTAAAGATTTCAAGATTTACCTGATATCATCTTCTTATTCTGTTAATTTTAAATAGTCTCTTTTCTTATGTCAGTAATGAGTTTGTACCAAAAACTTCAATTTCAAACATTTCAAAATCCAAACAAGATCTAAGTTCTGGTCATATTAACAGTTTTGTATTAATCTTGAGGAAAGAAATGGAGAGATACTGACTTGCTGGAGTGGCAGCAGTTTCCACGTTAAGCTTATGCACCTGGCTTGGACTTTGATATTGTGTGTTTTTGTGTGAAAAGAATGGTAACTCAGGCAAAGCTCATAGCAATTCCAACCTCTTCCAAGATGTGTAAAGTGTAGGACATGATCCCACGAGAGGCATAGCAGGCAAGACACAACAAATCTTTGCTTTAGCAGAAGGCTTTGTCAGCAAAAAGCTCTAACACATCATGGTCTAGACACTGAAGGCATACAGTTTTTGCTATGGAAGGATTTAAGCATAGGAAATAGTGCACCTAGGGAGGCTGCATCTGTTAATATTTGTAGATCAAACCATGATATTTTTTTCTCCTTTTAAGAAAATAATATAGTTCTACCAGTAACTTTTTTGCTTTATGCAGGAGATGCCAGGGAATATTTGTTTTATAGATCATCCTGACTGTCACTAGACTTAGTACCTAACATAAAGGATGGAACTTTTTCATGTCTAATTAAGTGACCACTATATAGGTCCTTCAAGGTTTTCAGTATATCATTTGCTCTTTAGCTATCATCCTTATCTGGTTCGTTCTTAAGTGAGAATTCACTCCATTTGTCCTTATGTTTCAAATGAGATGATGAGTAATTCTCAGTATAAGCAATTACACTCCAGGTTGTCATTGACTGCAATACATACAGGAATATAATCTGCCCTTACTGTAGCACAATTACGATCAGCTTGTTCTTCATTGTCTTTGTGAGCTATAAGTATAAAAAGGCATTCTGATGAACACCCCTCCCCCAAATATAAGAAAAAAGTCTTTTACCAAATCTGCAAGTTTCTTAAAAAGAGTTTGTGTTTGAACCAATTATTCCTAACTATATTTTGCTTTGTATCATAGATATCTCTCTTATCTTTGCTAAGCACTGCTGTCAAGCGCACTTTTTTAAAGGAAAACAATAGACAAGTAATTTGACAGTGTGAAATCTATAAAAATATAGATGTACTAATTTTCAAACAAGTTTTTAAGCAAAATGTTAGGAAGCATACAAAATTGATGTATTTGATTTTCTTTAGTTTGCTTTAGTTTTGAAGAGTTTGGGTTAGAAAATAATATGATAATTTTCTTTTCATCTCTAGCTGCTCCTAGACAATGCATTGAACTACACTTTGATGAAAAATATTCCATAGAGCCTTCTTGGGAGTGTAAATTTGACCATATTGAAGTACGAGATGGACCTTTTGGCTTTTCCCCAATCATTGGACGTTTCTGTGGACAGCAAAATCCACCTATGATAAAATCCAGTGGCAGATTCCTGTGGATTAAATTTTTTGCTGATGGTGAACTAGAATCTATTGGGTTTTCTGCTCGGTACAACTTTACACCTGGTGAGTACACATCATCACACTTTTTAATAGAAAAAACTTAACATAATAACTTTTCCACTGGTGTATAATCATGCTGTTGAACAATATCTTCAACTGAGACTATTTTTATTATCAAGGAAAGTATTAATAGATAGGACACTGATAGAAGGCATATGTATCTTTAACATAAAAGTAAGGCTTTTTCAAGGAAGTAATTTTCAGACTGCAGTTTTTGAAAGTATTGTTTTCAATTGAATTCTATTACAGAGAAACATTCAAAATGTTTCGTGGGAAGTTCTGTGTTTTATACTTGATTGTTACACTGTATACCTTTTCTTTCAAAAAAATCATTGATAAAGTATTCTAGTAAAAAAATGTAATTATGTCAGAAAATTCCATCATTGCTTTTCCACTTCACCAATCATTTCCCTAGATGAGGAGTGGAATAGTTCTCCCTTCTCAATAAAGCAAACTATTACAAGTATTGCCAGAGGAAGTGTGAGATAAATATAGTAATATGTATTAAATATTTTTCTAAAAAGACTGTAAATATTAATCGTAATTACACACTTATTGCTTGTCACTTTTTAAATTAATTCATTAAAGTAAAACAAAATTCTCATTCATACTTTCGATTAATTCCCTTACTCTCCCACTTATCAGAAAAAGATTGCTGATTTTAAATTTCTTTTTTGGCTGCAGCTACACTATACTGCACTGCACTGCACTGCTGGATTTGACGTAGTTCTCTACCTTCTTATGTATTGAGTGATGAGTCATACTTTAATATAGCACGGTCTAAAGCACTATAATTATTATGTCATTTTGTCAATTATGTCACTATTGTTTCAGCTAAATTGTTGTATTAGGTCAAACAATATTCTTTAGAATATCTCCTAAAATTAGCAGACCTGAAATTCTTCTTCCTTAATTATTCCAGGGACGTCATAGATGATGGCAGGACTTTTTGCTCTATGTGGCTCCTTTATGTGGTTTTCTTAATAGTTATAGAATTAACCAGCATAGTTCAAGTCAAGGATACTGTTTTGCAGAGGGTAAACCTATTCAGAAGGTTCAAACAGCAATAGAACACAGAATTTCTTCAGCAAATAACCTGAGAGCTGTATCCATGTATCTATTATTGTAAATTCAAAGACAATGGACAAAATTTTGCATATTCACTCTGAAAAGTGAGTTAAATTTTTATCTCTCATTTACCATGGATCTGTGGATTTTTGCCATTTCCCCACTCTCTGCCAAAAGTTCTTTGCTTTACGTTTCTTGTCCTTCTTGTTTCAAAGGGTTATGCATTATAGTTGAAAAAATGTTCATAGCACTACCTGCAGCTTATTCTGTCTAAAAACTCTCAGGTAAAAGACAATTTCATGGATCATGTTTTATCCTTGTTGTTTTTCTATTGATGTAAGGAGACTTTCTATGCAGAGATCAATGCTGGTAAATTGTTACAGCAGCATAAATTATTCTAGACTTCAAATGGAATAGCTATCTTTTTTCTTTCTTCTTTCTTTTTTTTCCCCCCTCCATATATTTCAATAGAAAGCTCTGCAAATAATGGAGAATTTCTAGGAATACTGGTCAAAATGAGAATATAATTAATCTGACAAAAGCAAAACAGCACTGCTGCCTTCTTGATCGCTGGTAACAAGAACCAGTTCACATTGAACATGATTACTTGAACAGTCTTTTATTATGTAGGCATGGATAAGGCATGACCTTTTGAGATCTATTGTCCAAATGTGTGCAGTGGGAGGGGTCACTCTCAATTCATAAAAATGAATTATGGTTTTCAAGAGTGTATAAGAGTACCACAGAGAGGACTCCACTACAGAAATATCACTTAAACCACCTAGATCCATCTTAGGTAGTGAAAACTTATGAAATTAAATTATGAATACAAAAGAAAATTTTTACCTAACCTCTCTTTAAAGAACATGAAAATGATCCAAAGCAAAAACTCATTTAGAAACTTTTGCTGTCTAGAACAACTGAACACTCAGGGGAGATGGGTTGCCACCCATCTCACTTGTCGAAAGCAGGACACACTGCCCTATCTGCAGTCTGCATAGGAGGCTTTCTTTATCCCAGTGACAAGTGCAACAGAGCTATTTCTCCAGTACCAACAAACTTTGAGGGTCCCCACCCACCCATGAAGTGTTTCTCATCTGCTACTTTTGCATTTGATGTCTTGATGGAGGCTCTGGTTTGATTATAAAGAGATGTGATGTTAAACGTGTGGGTGTGTGGCAAGATTTAAAAAAAAAAAAAACAACCACTAAGTAAATTTGACTAAATTGAAGCTGCAACCATTTATTGTTATTTGAATGGTACCTGGAGAAACAGGGAAAGAAATTATTTACTATGTCTCCAGGGTGTATAAAAACAGCTAACTGGATGAAGTTGAAAACAAGATCAATTAAGGTATCATGAAAAATCTTGCACTGAAGATCTATTAGTCCATGCAAATGGAAACAGCCCTGCACCCAAGGCATTTTAAAACTAGTTTGGATTAAGTCTTACAAAAAGAAATTATATAGAAAAATCCTAAGGAATAGACTAATATTTTGCAATTACTAGAACTTTTCAATAATTTCTTTGACTCCTTGGTATTGAAATGGTCAGAAATCCATCCACTGATGCAAAAGTCTAGTAGGAACTGGAGTTTTAGGCATTTTGAAACTAATGCAACCCTTTTGTCATAAATTCTGTTCCATTTAAATAGACCTTTTTTCAGAGCTCTTTTCAGCAGTCTAAGAGGTGAGATCTAGCAGAAGAAAAAACTTTAATGACAAAATCAGAGCTACACACAAAGCCAATACAAACACACCCATTAAGTGGTAAAACTACTGACAATTTTTCAAAAACAAGGCTCTTATTACGAGAATAATTTAGGCTTTAATTTTTGTGATTTTATAAAGTATGGGGTTAAGCAAGGTGTGGATGAATGAAGCTGTATGTATGGTTTAAGGATAGACTATTTTCAGTGTCAAATTCTGAGTTAAGGGAAGAAGTAGTCATCTTCTTTTACATTATTACAGCTGAATACCAGTAATAACGAGATGAAATGTGGATGTAAAGTACATTTTCAACCATTTTGTACACATTAGAGTTTACAAGCAAAACAAAACTTATTTACTGTTTATATACTATTTCAATTTTAGTTTTTATTTTTAAATTCTGGTTAACTGTGACCATTTCAAAATAGAACTGTCTGAACCTATGAAACCTTCATAAATGTGTACAAACATTTTTGTTGGCTTTTTTCTCAAATCTGATGTATTAAAAAAGTACATATCTGACTACAATATGTTTTATTTACTTTGTTTAATTTTGAATACAAATGTGAAAGACCCATGAGACAAGTCAAATGATAACTCATTCTTGCTCTTGCTTTGCCATTCTTTGGGCCATGGAAAGGCCTACACCTGAAATTTCATTTCACAGCTCTAGGTCCTTTGACTCAATCTGTTACACTCATTTTTCCTAAAAAAGTTATGTCTCAGGGCTTTTTTCCAAAATGATGTTGAATCACTGTTTTGTGTAGAAAAATTCAAGTACTACTTCAAAGGGCCTTCTTATGACAACTATTATTTAAAATGAGTCAATTTTTTAGTGTAGACAAGGATTCAGACAGAGAGAGGCTATGTTTATTTGAGCTTTCTTACTCAGCTAGAATAATCAGATTTCTGTTTATCCTGGTCCCTGATTTTGCAGGACAGTGGCTTAAGATAGCACATCATTACTTTCAGTTCCTTCACTTAGTAGAAGCCATCTGTGTTTTTATTTAGCCTCATTGATATAAACGTCAGTCAGTAATGTTTTCTATTCAACTGCCTGATAATGGAAAAAGAAAAAAATATTTATGATCATATGTCCCAAAAAGTGGAGTATAAAACACTGTCTAATCAGAATAACAGTATTTTACATTCCCATTGCAGTGAATGTCAGAGTAATAGAATAATTGCATCATCTATCTTGAGGGAAAAAAAATAAAAACCAGCTCAAATTCTTCCTGGTTGGGGAATTTGCATGTTTTAAAACTCATGAAAAATTTAATGTGAATTTCTTAAATTGAATCACAGGTCTAAAGAGCTTAGATAAGAGATTGTCAAATCATTTTACCATCTAATGCCTATGTCCTTCCTTGAGTGTATTTAAGGAAGGGACATTTCCCAATTGTCTGTGACGGGTGAACACTTGTGTGAGCTTGCTCAGTTGTTTGTATTTGTTTGATTATGTTCCTGTTCTCTTCCAAACTTGGTCTGATTGCTTCTAAGTTAGTATCAGCAATGACAATCACTTTTAACCAATTTGCAATCCAGTTAAGCTTTTGAGAACCAGCAAACAGTCTCAGAGCCATGTGGCTTTGAATGTGGTAATCTTTTTCCTTTGGGATCAGACTTGGTTTTAAAAATTAGGAGAAATTATTCATTATAACTCTTTATTTAAGCTTTTGAACCAGAACCTTCTGATGTTACAAAAAACCTAAAAAGTGTGAATCTCTTTATTTATTGAGATAACTAGCCCTCAGCACTTCAAATTTTTATAAGCAGCTTGCTTGACTTATCAACTTTTAGTGTGTTCATAAAAGTGCACTTCATAAAAGTCAGACCCTTCATTGCTGTTCACAAGGCATAAGGGCATCTGGTCTTGTGAGTGAGAAGGAATTTCTCACATGTAGGATCATGCATTGCATTGACAATCATGATTAGTTAAATAAATATTGTATTTTCAAGGGAATTTCTTTTGTGTTGCGATGTCCTATAGATTTCATTATCTTACAAGAACTGTAGGTCTAGGCCTAGAGTACTTCAGTATCATAAATATGAGAATGTAATGTGATAATATGTTTATTTTAAATTTCAAGTGAAAAATAATTCCTTATGTGGAGCAAATGATAATCTAAAAGGTCTCATGGGTTTCTCAGGTCCCGTATTAACTCTTGTTATCACATACTTATATTTTTCTTTTGACAATACCCAAAAGGTAACTACAGAACTTCC